CAATTGAGTGTCTAAATTCGTGGGTTGGCCCCCACCCATGTGGGAGGTCAACCCTTTTTGTCCAGAAGTGTACAATCAGTCCCGAAAGTTGTATTTTTCGGACTGTTTTAATTATATTATATTTTATCGGGTCAAATAAAATATATTATGTGTTCTTAATCATTATGACATTTAGAATGAATATACATTCCCCAACTTTAATTTATAAGCCTCCGAAATTCATTTCGGGCTTTCATCTGTTAAATTACCAGTACCGGTATTTAGGCCTCTTTTGACCAATCTGTCAACTCTATGACATTTCTTTGGACCAAATAAATTATCCACCACTATATAAATATTATTTCGACCAAGATGAATAAAATATACGGTCTCGGGAATATCGGGCGGTCCCCGCTCCCGGTGCGGGACCCACATGCGAATTTACTATTCACGCAGAAACAATTAATAAAAATTCACAAATTCGTAATTTCATTAACCATTCCATACGGGTCAATACATTATTCACTTAAAAGTAAATACATTTCGGGACGGTGTTACAAGATCATACCAGACTTCTGTAGTTATAAAATACACAAAGATCTAACATTTACTAGACCAGACCAGACCATGCCAGACCAACGAATTTAAGTCCAAGTACAAACATCCTAAAAACATCATTATATATATGAATACAAATTTTTATTAATTGTAATGTAGACTTTTTTTTTTTAAAAAAAAAACAAGCTTTACAAAACAATATATTGTACGCAGTATTATTATACAATATACTAGCTCAAAAATAAAAAAAAAAAATTGTAGACTCGTAGTTGTTTGCTATTTACCTTCCTAATTATAAATTTAAAATTTCATCTTAGCTCAACAAATTGAAAACGTTTCACATATATAAGTGCATAACATTATATTATAATGTTTTATTGTTAATTTCCAGTTCATAAGAGAAAAGATTAAAATTACACTTAGTGATTTAAATGCTAAATAAATTGAAATATAAGAGAATACAATATATGTTAAAATGATAATAATATGGAGTAATAAGAATTTACTCCGTAATATTTATATTTAGAGAATATAAAAAACGGAAGACCTAAGAAAAACTCTCAGCTGCTCTTTACGTTTTTTGAAAACGGAATTACGGAAGACCTAAAAAAACCATTGCCGATTAAGCTACTTTATTTAGTAAATGGGTGGAAGAACTTTTTAAATTTTAAAGATTAGATCCGTATGGGCTGTATGGCTTCATCGCAGCTTGCGTGTAGCACTACAAAAAAAAAAGTGACCTGCAGCCATGACGAGAATCGAACCTCGGAACTGAAGCCTGAGAAGGTTTCCTATCTACCACCACTTAGCTAACTATATATTTTGAGGTGAAGTCTATGTTTGTCCTAACTATAGCGTAGATCCGCCCCTGTGTTGAAGTTAAACAAGTCATATGCAGGGGCGGATGTATTATGTAATCGATGAGGGCACATGCCCCCAATGAAGTCAAACTTTTTAGTGTAAATACATATACATATCATTAATGAAAATGGTAGTGCCCCCAATTAAAAAAAAATCATGCCCCCAATACCCCATTAATTTGTATTAACTCAATTCTAAAAAATGGGTGGACAAATGCATGTACAACGTAATCGGTTTACTTAAATAATATCAACATAATTAATTCAATATTAGAGTTGATTTGTATTAACTAAATTCAGGCTTTGATTATAATTCTTCCAAAAAAACTAACTTCAGGCTTTCTATGAACTAAATTCAGCCCCGCACCTTTATCCATTTTAATTTATATTATGTATTTTTGAAATATTTATTTTAATGATATAATGGCATTATTAAAAATCACTGTCAACTCCTGTGCTTACTACATTTTTTTCCTAAGTCGGTAATTTGCTACTGTATTTCCTATCTTGCTAATTAGAGTCTTCACTGCAATGGTATATTTTGTTAATTTTGTTAGTTCATTCTACTTTTTGTATTTAATTGCATCTCTCAGAATGAATAGCTCAATTTTATAGTTTAAGTTTCAAAAAATTGTTCATTGTATAGTTCACGAGTATAACTTTATAAATTTTACATATTTGAATAGATTAAACAATGATATTAAGATACTATAAAAGAAAATCACGGCCACCACACAATCAATGCCACGTAGAAAATTCAAGTGTTAATGTTTCAAATAGTTCTCCTTTTATGCTTAATAAAGTTACAATCGAAGTTGCGGTGGATGATTTTCAATGGAAACTCTTAGAGAGCAGTTATAATGAAATTTAATACTTTTTTGTTAATATTGGATTATTTATTTTTTGAAGTATATTTATACTACCTCTGTCCAGAAAAAAAGTTCTCAATTTCTTTTATGAATGTCTAAAAAAGTTATCATTTTTATAAAAGGAAACCACTATTAAGTAAAAAGTCACAACTTTTTTTTCACCTACTTTTTGTTTGATTTAAGGGGAATCACACTTTTAGTCCGTGAAATAGTCACGAAATTGAAATGTCTGACCCGTGTTCCAGAGTTTGTAAATGTCGTCCTTCAGTATAATTTTCCAAAATGCTGTAAATGTGGTCCTTTGACAATGTGGACGAGAGTACATTTCATCACTTAAAGGACCACATTTACAACACTTTGGACAATTATATTGAAGGACGGCATTTACAAACTCTGGAACACGGGTCAGACATTTCAATTTCGTGACTATTTCACGGACTAAAAGTGTGATTTCCCTTTAATTTAACATAAATTTGCAGAGTCAAAACAAAACTTTATCTTACATAAATATGTGTATATGTCAACCGGAAACTTCATTCCGAAATGGAGGATGTATTTGTTATCCCAATAATTTTCACTTTTTCTTAAGAGAAATGCTAGAGCTACCCCAAAATGGGGTACCCCATTTGTACCTCACTCTATGAGTGACTCACAAAACCCCAACGGCACAAAATAATTGCCCCACTTAAATTCATTGCTTTTCTTAACCACAAAACTAGGGAGGGGGTACAAAATAGGGTATAGAATGAAGTAGCTTTAGAATTTTTCTTTTCTTAAATGGTGCCCCCAATAGCTAAAGTTTCTGGATCCGCCCCTGGTCATATGGTGTCATACCGCCATGCATGGTGGAGCTAGATAGGTAATAGGTAGCAATTTATTTGGGGGGGAAATATCGACGTGTGAAATATATTCTCTATATTTGTACGATTTCAAAAGACTTGTACAAAATTGCTCAGTATGAATTATTCATAAGTTTAATAAAGTGAACTAGTGATTCTACTTGTAGAATTCAAAAAAAAAAAGGATGACACCCCATCCCTGAGGGCCCCCCACCACCGACCGGACGACACGATGGGAAGATGTAAATTGGACTATAATCACAATCTGACAGATAGAGAGTGGGGCTCTGTCCCCGGTACTTGCAGAGGCCCGATGCATTTTTCAGCATAGTAACCCCTCATCGCAGTTGCCGGGATTCGAACCCGAGACCTAACCCTTGTGGCACTCCCTTGCTACCAGTTGAGCTACGCCCACCGGTTCTACTTGTAGAATTCAAGCATTTGTGAATTGTGACATGTGGTGCTTGAGACTCGTATATGAGCGCATTGAGCGGAGACCCTGCACGGAGAAGCAAGAGGAGACCGGCTGGACTCATCCAAAGAAAATTTCGCACTTCATGTGTCAACAATTTTTTTTTATCAATAATTCATCTTGTAAACAAAATTTATACAAGTACATATTATGCACACATTTATACAAATTTATTCCAGTGGTTTGTAATTGTTTGTGCACACAAACAATGATGCATGAGTTATCTGTGTACACATGCAACTAGAGAGTGGACACATTGTCTGTGAGCACAGACAATTACTTACAATGTGTGAGAAATGTGTACAAAATTCGTGTATAAATAACTCTTTTTAATTTTTATTTGTAAACTATAAAAGCATGTTCTTTAAAAAAAACTATAAAAGCATGTTTAAATAGTGTGTATTGGAATCATGGTTTAAATTTTTTGATAGGGGGTGTTTGGAACTGTTTCTGCTTATGTTTCTTTTTTAAAGCAGATGCAGAAGCAGAATCAGAATCAATTTTCAAAAGCTGGTCTCCCCCAGCTTCTAAAAAACTGATTCTAGGAGTAAATTAGTGCACCAAAATCACTTCTGCACTTTCACTCAAACACTCCAACTTCCGCTTCTGCTCCCTGAAGGATCAGAAGCAGTTTTAAGAAGATATAATTATCCCCCATATAACTAAAACTCTCTCACTTTCCCAATCTAGGACCTAACTAGTTTTTTTCCCAAAATAATATTACATTTCATAACAATTAATTAAAATTCGTAATTAATAATTAATAAATAATTTTTATGGACAAAAACACCCTTTAGCTTATCCCTATAAAACCCTAACCTCCTATTCATATTCTACAACCCTAGATACAACCTCCAACGCTCACTCACGCAGCCGCCCCTCCGCCCAACTGCCGCTCGCACTACAATAAAACGGATTTGTAGAGGCATGCCATAATTGCCTCAAAAAATAGCAAAGTAGCCTCTAATGACTTCTGGAGGCAATTTAGTGGTTGCCAACAAATAGTCCGTCGCAAAAACAGTGGTTGCCTCTAAAAACACCCTTTAGAGGCAACAAGAATGTGCTTCCAAAAAGATACATTTAGAGGCAACCATAGCCTTTCGCCTCAAAATATCATTAGAGGCCACCACGTTATGTCGACTCGAAATGTCATTAGAGGCCACCACTTTATGTTGATCCAAAATGCTATTAGAAGCAACTAGTTTTAATGACTCAATACATTATTAGAGGCACTATTTTATACTGCTTCTAAAAATTATTAGATGCAACTTTAAATGTTATCATGGAAACCCTTTAGAGGCAGCCTTAGTGCTGAACTAGAGATATTATACTACGTTGCATCGATATAATAATTATGGATACCTAATTCCCTCATACTTTTATAAAATATTAAAAATACACTAACATTCAACATAAATACCACAAATAAACAAATGCTTCCATGACAATGTAACACAGAATATCAATATGAATATTCATTTAATAACCGAATGTCTTAACTACATAAACTATTTGTTCAATCTAATCTATCTCAAATCCGTGTGAAGCAAAACTAACTGGATCTAATACAAAATGAAGATGAAACAACATAGATCTAAAAGTTTAATGACAACACATTAACCTAGAGAGATCATTCATAATCATCATGTTCCTCCTCATCATCATCATCATCATCATCATCATTATCATCATCATCATCATCATAACCATCATGCTCATCATCATCGTCATCATCATCATGCTCATCATCATCATAACCATCATGCTCATCATCATCATAACCATCATCGCTTCTCTCTTTAGTATGCTTCTTGCCAACCTGTCATTTTGAAATTTAATTTGTATGAGTATTTGTAACTTTAAAAAGTTATTAATAGAAAATAATGAAAAAATGATGCAATACCTCTTTCGCAATCAACTTAGAAAAATCACTGCCCATAAGGTTGAAGAATTTTTCCATAACACCTTTCATAACTCGGACTTCATTTTTAAAATTGTTCACCTCCTTAGTCAGCATTTTATTTTTCTCATTAGCTTCATTTGCTTCTTTCTTAGCCTCACTCGCCTGCTTCTTGGCCTCTTCGGCTTCTTTACGCAACTTCTCCCCTTCGCTAATAGATCCCAACAGTGATGTAATAGAAGGACTTACTCCCATGCCACGATCACGCCCAGATTTACCTTTACGTTTGACTGTTTTATAAATTTCTTCATCAGTCATATTAATTTCTCCTATCTCACGTTGCTCTACAAGTTTCTCCATTTGTGACTGCAAAAAAAGTTATATGCAATGAGTATACCAACAAAAAGTTATATATATAAGTATGCAACACTATGCAGCTTGTGTAACTTTAACAACCAATCTGATAATCACTAGGCAGCTAGTGTAACTTAAAATGCTTTGCCCCTGCAACTAGCATACAAACAAGGTTTAATAAATCATCCGTTAAAAACCAATAGGACTAAAAAACAATCGGAATTATGTTATGCACTTCCTTAACTAGCATCACAATTATGCTAGTCAATCCTATAGAAAGGACTTTTGAGGTTGCAGAGCGAGTATGGAATGGTTTTCTAATAATATTTGGCTGAAAAAAATGTTTTCTTCAAAGGAATTCTACTTGAACCTAGCATGGTTACCCTAGGGGCTGAACATAAACAGAAGGTTTCCCAGATAACATTTTCAAGTACACTCTCACTATGCTGAAAAGGAGAGTCCTTCCCGCTGTTCCTGGGATCACAAAATCATGTTGTCGTCTGGACGAAAATCTGAAGTGGATGCAACATTGAACCTGAATGGACTCTAAATCAATGTCTTGAAGACGTGGCAAGGATGACCTGAGAATGTGAAAGCTGCACAAAGGCACTACTGAGTCGTGCAAAAACAAACTCACAGCCGGCTCTACTAAGAAGAAAATATTTGTGAAGGGTAATACCTATTAAGTGTGTATCCTTAATACAAAATTTGTTACAGAAAGCTTTAAACTTAATGTATCCTTGCTACTATATCCCCTAAATCCAATACATGTACAATGCGATTCCCATTTCTCATACTAAAACTCGCATAAAGTAAAACTAGCTTTCTGAACGAGCACAATTCAACCCAAGATTTCAGTGATGTGTGTTAGCCTACAAGTAAACAAGCCTATAGTTTCAGTGATGTGTATTAGCACATGTACACTTTAAATAATATGACATCAATGTGTATCTAAGTGATGCAATCATTTCATAAACTCAGTACGATTCAACATATGTACTTTGTTATTTTAAAAAGGCAGAAAATCATGAAACCACACTGCTAAGATTTCAATAATCATCAAGTTTGAGTTTTTTGAATCATGTACAAATTTGACCTGATAAAAGTTAAAGCACACTGATAAAAATCAGATTAATTTATTGACTATAAGTGAACGATACTCATTTACCATAGTTTCCTTTGCAACATTAGTCACCGGGGTTTCATCACGTCTAGTATGAGTCTTCTTGTACACTTGCAGCATGCCCGGCATTACATGGTCAGTTTCAAACTAATATGAAAGAAGTATTGTTTTAGCGGATAAATAAATAAACAATATAAAAATAAATCACAATAAATAAATTTTTATTACCATCTCTTCTACCACTTGAGCAAAACTCTTTGAACCAGCAGTGTGTCCAGCATCTAAGTATGAACGGTTATCACGATTTCGTTTACTCATTTTCTATAACAAAAAAAATATGTCATTATTAATAAAACAACTTTTTATTACACATAGACCAAATATATTATTACTGATAGGGGTGGAGGAAAAAGTCTAGAGTGAGAGTGGTAAATAAATACCATGATTGTGGGTTTTGATAAAATAATACTGTTAGTGCTTTCTGAGAATATAACAAATTTAAAAAGTTAAGTGCAACCTCATTCAATAAAAGTGTAGTTGTGAAGTGTATACTTAGCTAGAACAGTAGCATAGAGTGAAATATGTGTTTAAACAAGCACACAAACTAATTACCTGAAAGTCAGGAGACCCAAAGTACTGGACAAGCCACTTCCAGTCTTTTTCCTCAACACGAGGTGGCTTATTCTCTTTTTTTAATCGTTCAGCATCTGTTTCTTCTGTGTCATAATAAGTACTTTTCAACCTTGCTCTATAATTTCTGTATTTCTTATTCAATGATCGCATCAGAGTTTTGTGTCGCTCTTTTTCTAACTTTTCACGATGCTCTTCATCTTCAACATCATCAAGACCAATATCAAATTTTTCCTTGCAAAATGAAGTGGTTCTTAATAGCAAAAAGGAATGAATATATAGAAGAGAAATACTTTATAGGTGGACTAAATAATTTTAATACCAGAATAAGCTGCCACATTCTGTCTTTATTCGTTTTGGGGATTTCTGAAAAGTCTTTCACATTATAAAGGGGTGCATTTAGAGGATCTCGGACAAGGGCACCACAATAGTTTGCCAAGCTAGCTCTATTCACACCGACAGGTTGGCCCTTTATGTTAAAATCTACCCTTTTCCTCTCACCCGGTCTCATTCTAGCCATATAAAGATTCCGCGTAGGACCTCTAGGAGTTTTAGTTTTGTACACTTTTTTCTTCCGATGAACTGTCGAAAGATAAAAATATTTCATTGAGCAAACATCGCTTTAATGCATAAATCATGTTAATGGAATAGAAGTACCATTATTCATAATGAAGTTAAGTAGTTAACTGACAACAAAATTAAAAATGGAAAAAGTCATACCTTGAGAAATAACTGTTCCTCCTATGTTATTAGCATCAGGTAGATCCATGTCATAGCTAGTCCTCTTAATTAGACTGGTATTATCTTCTTCTTCATCTAAGTATACATTCGGATACCAAAACAGGAAAATACAAGGAATAAATTGTTTCCTAAAAATGAATTAAAAAGTATAATATGACTTTAATTTTTACATATTGTATACCTTTATCTGTATCAGAATCTTCATTGTTCGTATTATATTGCTCCTCCATATCTACAACATTGACTCTCCAATAAATATATAGTAAATACTTCGTTTATAGTAAATATAATAGCAGTGGTCATCGATTGAAAATTAAAAATGAATTGCATACCCTCATCAGAAGCAATAAAAGGTGCAGTATCCATAAAAAATATCCTGGTGAAACATGCCTAGCACCTGGTACAAGCTTCCTAGGACTTGATCACATTGCCTAAAGAAAACCATTTTTTAAGCATTTTCTTCACCATAGGTTTGCAAATTGCCTCATGCCTAGACTGATTTTTAATTCATGGTGGGTTTGCGGGACACTATGACATGTTCACGAGAATTTTGACATACTCTTGACCAAAAACCAAGACCTATTTCTTGAAACCTTTTAGTTCAAAAAAATCTGGTTTTAAGTCAACTTTAGTTTAAGTAAAACTATGAACTCAACAAGCAATAACTTTAGTTAATTACTCAAAACAAATTTGGATATGATTTTTAGGGCTATAGTGGTCACTCATGATTCATAGAATCTCCTACCCGATAGGTTTGACGAAAAATAAGATGTACTTCACTCAATATGACTATTTCAGAAACACGCAATATTCACATAGAGCAACTGCTTTAGGGTAGAAGAGTATGGCTAACTTATCAATTTAATGGTATTCAAGATCTCAAACTAATATATTCTCTTTATTCTACAAAGGATTGCATACTGGAATTCTAGAATTCCCCTAACATATATGTATTGTGAGTCCTTTTCTTGTCCAGCCGGCCTGACGGGAACCGCCGTCCGGCCGAGGGCATTTCGGGCACTTCCCTATAGAATTTTTTGATGAAATTTTTTGAGCATGTTCTTCATAAAGTCTAGTTTATCCATACCAAATTTCAGATCAAAATTTGATCGGGAAGGCATTCAAATAATTTTTTGGAGTTGACTGCGTCAAAGTATACATATAAAAACCCAGTCAACTTCAAAAAATTATTTGAATGCCTTCCCAATCGAATTTTGAGCTGAAATTTGGTATGGATAAACTAGACTTGATGAAGAACATGCCCAAAACATTTCATCAAAAAATTCCACCGGGAACTTCCCGAAATGCCCTCGTCTGGACGGCGGTTCCCTTCAGGCCGGCTGGACATGAAAAGTCCTCTATGTATTGTAGTATGAAACTGCTAAACTGAACAATGGATAATGGATATACACTCACATATACTATTATACTGAGTAGATATATAGCTAGCGAAAATCACATAATCCTTGTCTGTTAAACATGACTAAAATGCATTGGGGGAACCTCATTATCATAAATATTCTGTTTTTATTCTGCTGATTTGCTGTAAAATGGATATGCTACTTCAATTCAGGAGTTGAGACTACAAAATTTCAGGGGAACTTAATTCCATTTCAGGGAAAAAGACACCATTTTTGGCTGAAATTGTTCATAAGGATTTGTGTAAAACCATATAGGTTCATACAATTCCCAACTTCTTTTTTTGAAATTTAGACTCTGCAACCTAAAAAATATTAAATCAAAAAAATACAGTAGAAAAGCGTATCATGTAGGGTGTTAGCCCATCGGATTCCATGCTTTCATTATTAACTAGGAATTCAATTAATTAAATTCTGGACAAATCATAAATATAGAGTATTTATCAAGCATTCAAACAAAGCGATGATAAATTTAAGGATGAATATTACGACCTTGTTGAGAAGCTTGAGTTAAATGATATCTGGAGGAGATGATGAAGATTGAAGAAGAATAGTGAGATCAAACGCCAAGCTTCACGATGCCAAGCAAATCGGTCTCTGCTTGATGCGGAAAAAAGGCACTCCTGTCTTGATTTGGGCTAGGGTTATTCTCTCCGATTTTGCTCTCGCTCCTTCAAAAATCGCTTCTCTTCTCCTGCTTCGCCGTTCAGGTCTGGTCCTCTTTACCCGCTTCAAAATCCTCCCTCTGGTTTGCGTGGAAGCAAGTTCTAACTAAAATAATGGGATAACTCCTCTAAAGCTGCGGTAGGGTTAGAAAGAAGTGGCGAAGTGCGGGAATAGTTAGCGGCAAAGCAATACTAATTTGGATTTGGTTAAAAGTATCCAATTTTTTGAAAACTAAAATCTAAGGCGGTTAATGAAAATTAGGGAGCCGGTAATTAAAAAGAAAAAATTACGGATTATTAATTAGATAGGATAACCAACTTTAAAAACTAAGGATGTTTTTACTTGGATTGTAATTTGCTGATCTGGTCTGGTCTGAACTGATTTGGTCTGATTATTTCAAGTCTCTTTGTAATTTTATAACTATCCAAGTCTGGTCGATCTGGTCTGGGACAGATTACAGTCCAAGTAAACACATCAATTATAATTCAATTATATTTCACTTGCATTTTACATGTATATATATAGAATAATATTCTGGTCAGGAATTTCCGATTCAATTTGAAGCTGAAATTTGGAGGGGATAGACTTTACTTGACGAAAAACATGGACAAAAAAATCAGCAACAAATACTACCGTAAACTGCGTGCCCCAGATGTCATTCAGCGGCCGGACCGGAAATTCATGACATGTTTGTGATATATTCGATCGGGAAGGTATTCAAATCATTTTTTGAAGTTGACTGCGTTTATATATATATATATATATATATATTTATTTACGGGTGGTTGCAATTGGAAGTTACAAAGTCATAAGATTTTTGAGACCTCAATTTATCATTAAGTTACACTTTTAGAGGCAATTATATTTTAATTGTTGTTGAATATATCTTTTAGAGGCTCAAAAAATTGAAATTGCCTCAAATTGTTTTAGATGCAATTGCTTTAGAGGCAACTACGCTTTTGCAACAAATTTTTAGAGGCAGACTCTATAATGTTGCCACAAATAATACTTTTTAGGGGCACCTCGAATATAGTTGCCTCGATTTACTTAATTTAGAGGCAATCATGATTTATCCGATGCTAAAGATAACATTTTGAGGCAATATTATCTCAATTGCCTCCAAGAGGTGCCTCTATAAGTTAGTTTTTATGTAGTGTCGCTGCCTAGTCTCCGCCCACAGTCCAGCGCCGCCACCCACCGTCTAACGCCGCCGCCTTGGACAAAACTGCGATCTCGGTGTAAATCGTCGATAGCTAGTGCAATCGTCCGCTCGACCTGGGCTCCAAGGCGCTGCACGACGTCCATGTATTGTCCACCATCTAGCCGGCGGCCGCACAACCATCGCTCGCCGCCGCTCACCAACCGCAGACCCGCCGCATGGTTGCCTCCTTCCCCTTCTCCTTTTTTCTTTTTGTATTTCTTGAAATTGGGGTTGAGAATTAATGTTCTCAAAGAATGGCGTTGGACTGCCGCTCCAACAACTCAGATTCTTCAACCAAGGTGGTCGAGGTTGAAGGCGAACCCAAGGTTGAATATGAACCCTAGGTTGAAGACGATTGAAGATCGTGTGCAATGAATAATTTGTATTGAATTCCGTGAATATCACAAGAAGTGCAATGATTGGTACAAGAAGTGCAATGATATGACCATGTATAATGTGATTATGATAAGAAATGCAATAAATCAATAATTTTTTTTTTAAACCCGGAAGGTAAACCACCAAAATCGGTGGGGCAAATGCCGGGGAACATTTGCCATGTTTTATTAATAAAAGAAAGAGTACAACTGAAGAGGGGGACTAGGCCAAAACCTCTCCAAGAAGGCATACCTTCTCCAAAAATACAAGAGAAACTGAAAAAACGCCATGGGGGGGCAAGACCTGACCCATGTAACTAGTAAAAAAAGAAACATTAAGAAAACTAACAAAATTACAAAAATTTATTGGGGGGACCAAACCTTACCCAATAATGAATACAGAAAATTAAGCGATTTTAAAATAACTCAATCCCAACTTATCAGCAATAAGTACTCGTTTAATGTGAACAGGAAGACGGTTGTAATTGTAATAAGCAATAAGCTTATCCGTACTGATCTTAGAAAGATAATGCGCAGTCCAATTAATGTCTCTCAGTATATATGAAGCCAATATGAAAATCGATCTTCCATCTCCTCAAATCCTCCATCATCCTCTTCCACCTTCCTTCCAATACTCCCTCTAAGATTTCCTCCACCGCCAAACTTGAATCAGACTCCACCTCCAAGGGATAATATCCTCTCTCAATCGCCCAACGAACAGAGGTATGGATCGCCAAGATTTCTGCTTCCAACGCCGAGCTCGCAGACAAAGGAAAAGTAATACCAGCCATCAATAATTAGCGCATTAACATTGACATAAAGTGCGATTATCAAATTTAAAATGAAAAAGTATATGAAATCCTAACAATTTTTTAATGTTGTGCAATAACTCTCGCATGAAGTGCATTATATTTAATTAAACGTAAAAAACTAAAGTTATCAAAACTACAAAAACCCATAAACTGAAGTGTCATAACTTAATTGCATGAAATGCATTAAATCTTGTGCCGTGAACACAACATAAAAGTGCAATAAATGTTGTGCAATGACTCTTTCATAAAGTGCATTATTTTTACCCGGACGTAAGTAGTGTAAAATGCATTTTTTAAGAAAAAGGGTATTTCTGTCCTTCCAAAATTTAATATAACAAAAATTTCTTTTTTATATATATTTTCACTCATACTTTGGGAAAAAAACATAACTACTCACATTTTGAGAAACTCACTTTGTTTTAGTCATATCCCGGAAATTTTTCCTTTTAAGAATTAGATCCAAACATGATCATATTTTTTTTATAGATTTTTGCTCGGAAAAACATGATCATATTTTTGTTGGGCCTGGATAATTTGAATGTAATTCTTGCACCTTCCACACACTGACACACCTTAATTTGATCGCAATTTATAAACTAATACATACAATCAAAATTATCATGTACAAAATTTTGTTAAATTTTTATTAATGTACGTGATTTTTCAAAATTTAACTTTTCATTATGTTTACTAATATGTAATTAAATAGTTACAATTTGTTGCAATTTAACTTATAATAAAATAAGAAAAAACATTGATTTCTAGCTAAATACCCCTAAGGGTATTATTTCATAATGAAATGTTTTAATTCAGAACTAAAGTCTTAAAAAATAATAAAAATATATTAAAAATCGTAAAAAATTAATAAAATAATAATAAAACATTTATAAAATAAAAAAAATATTAAAAAATAATAAAAATAGTAAAAACCCATAAAAACAAACAGAATATGGATACCTTTCCCCCCGCCTCCTAGCACCAGCACCTCTGGTCGGTAAAAAATCTGAACTTTTTTTACAAAAAAATGCCATATTTTCTCGAAAATGCCAAGAAAATGGCAATATTATTCTTCATAATACCAAAATTTTCATTGAATCTTCCATTATTATGACATTACTAAAAATATTGGCAGATTTTTTTAAGTTTTTTAAAAAATATTTATAAAAAATATTAAAAACCCATAAAAAATTATGGATACATTTCCCACCGCCTCCCAGCACCACCGCCCCCGATCTGTAAAAATTCTGCCATTTTTATAATTAAAAAAATGTCATCTTCCCGAAAATGCCAATAAAATGGCATTGTTACTCTTCATAATGCAAAAATTCTCATTGAATCTGTCATTATTATGGCATTACTAAAAATGTTGGCAGATTTCCAACCGGTGATGGGGCCTGGTGGTGCTGGGGGTGGAAGAGGTGGCGTTTTTTTTACGTTTTTATTTTTTTGATTTATTTTTTTAAAAAATAATTTTTCGTTTTACAAATATTTGATAAATTATTTATTATTTTCCTATGTTTTTTATTATTTATTTTTTTATGTTTTTTATTATTTTTTATGAACTTATTATTAATTAAGACATTTTAAAAGCTACAAGGGTATGTTTATCCAAACACACATAAATAGTCCTAATGAGGGGATTTAAAAGATGTAGTCCTATTTGTGCTCGTGGGCCTCTTTTTTGTCCTGTTTAGGTAATTCACTCAAATATTTATCATACCCTTGAGGTGTATATTAAAGTGTTTATTGAGCCCATTTTTACAACCCTATACCTATCTAATCATCCATTAGTAAATGATGACTCGTCATTAACTGTGTAAATTAGAATACGACAAAAAAAAATTCTGTAAATTAGAAGCCAATCGTGAGTTGATTAGTATACTCAATTTTGACATTTTATTGCACACGCAAAGTAAAAATGTATCACATAAAGTAATAAAGACTACTTGATTTGAGACTAATATCTTAGTAAGTGTCTGTTTAGTAACAATGAATTTGGCTAAATTGGTCAAAATTGTTGAAATTGATGAAATTCTTGCTAAAATAACTAAATTTACTTCAATTATAGAAAAGTTGTATTTAAAGTATACTCTTTATTTTACTACTGAATACAAGAAAAATTATATGGAAAATAGCTAAAATAGTCATCTATAGGGACACCAATCAAGTTGGCCAAAAAAATAACGTAACTCTTGCATTGTTTAATTAATACATAATTCAGCGCGTGAAATCGAATGTTACATGTTTGATAAATAACTTGATTAATATGGCTGCTTAGTTAGAAATAGGGATGACCAACGGGCTCAGAAATTGATTGAATCGGATCAATTTTGACTTCAATGGATGGATTGGCTAAATATGTGAATTATGAAGAAAAAATTGTATCAAATTCAGCCAACCTATATACAAAAATATCACACCTTTTTACGTTTAGTATACCTATATATTACTTAATTCAGTGTGTGAAATCAACATTAAGTATCAAATAAAAAAAGTAAAGTTGATTGGTAAGACAAAAACAAAGTCATCCCATTGGCTCTTAATGTTGAAAAATGTAAACAAACCCATGGGTGATTTAAATTAGAGGAGTGGATCTGAACCTTTCAATCGTGATCAAGTAAATCAGCATCATGCGGAGTTTGATTATGGCTCGCAAGTCGCAACAGGTCCCATAAACTTTGAGGCAAAATGATGGCACAATAATGAATCAACAATACAAAGGGAGGGACTAGCCTTGTTGAAAAAATCAATTCGTGTTTGTACTTTAGACTCAGTTGTTTAGACTTTAGAGTGGATT